ATAATTACAGATCGTTAAAAACAGATCCTCCTATAAATAAGTTAAAACTTAATCTCGAAGTGTTAACGCTCGTGTATGTGTGCGTTTGTGAAAAAATGAAATGAAATGAAATGGGGTTTAACGTCCTACTGTTCTGCTCCTATGCTGGACTAATGAAGACGGGCATACGCCATACAGTGTGCTATGAGGGAAATTTTGCCCGGGCAGCGGCACTATTGCCTACTCTTATATCGAATTCCAACTGCCAAGGGATCTTTTACGTGCATTCCAATGTATACACGGGACCTCGGTTTTTCGTCTCATCCGAAGGACTAGACAGCCGTCCTTTTCAGGCCCTCCTTCCTGCATCACTGACAAGGGGAAACCACGCTGGAAAATCTGGATGAACTTTCTCAGCCAATGCAGGGATCAAACACCCGACCTCCAGGCTAGCGAGCCAGCGTCTTACTCACTTAGCCACGTGACCCCCCGTTTGTGAAAAACACTCACATTCAAGTAGTAACGCGTCTCACGTGATATACACATTTTAATGTTAAGTAGACTCTATCAAACACACATTTAAATGTAGCACATACATGGAAACGAATCAACCTATAGTTGAAATAATCCATGTATATTAAATTCTTTATTCCGTCGACAATCAGAGAATGGAACTCACTGAACCTATATTAAACTTGCTCATTATTTCTGTCCAGCTTGATTAAAACGACCATAATACTCCACATTGTCAGATAGTTGAGATTAGGCTGCGGCGATTTAAATGGAGACAATGTTCTGTATGTACACTAATTACACTTATTTATGTAAATATTGGAGAGGGGTCAACATAGGCCTAGCCTTTTCCTCAAATGAAATAAAATATTGTTTATAAAAAGAAACCACATTTTATGTTGTCACAATGACGTATATTATCACCCTACAGTTATCACCATAAAATGGCATATGTTATACACGATGCAATATGTTATCACCAGAATAATAGGACGTAAAACCCCATTTCATTTATCACCACTAAATGCCATATGTTATCACCATAAAATGACATATATACACACAGTAAACTATGCTGTCACCATACAGTAGAATATGTTATCACCATAAAACGAGATCATGTTATCACTATAAAATGACAAAACATTATTATGTTATCACCATGAAATGACATATAACTAGAACAGTTAGAAGGATAACTGGCGACTGAATAAACTATGCGCCTGTACATATTCATTTAAATTTAGAACGTAAAAGACAAGAAATGATCTTGGAATTCTGATTCGTCTTAAACTCTGTATTTAACATTATTTTAGCATGCTTAGGTATTCTGTGTGGTATGAGGGAATTTTGCTACGTTAAAATCTTATTTTAATTCTAAATGTCGGATGATAATGTCAATAATGTGCGCGGGGACCTCAGTGCTTCATCACAAGCAAATAATTAGATACTTTCTGTGTCCTGTACAACCAGGCTGGAAGTGCCCGAGAACCTCTATTGTCTAACACCGGGATCTTTACCGGGATCACTTGGTTACTAAGCCAGTGCCATACCAATGGGACCACCGGACTTCCTTGTAGTTTTTTCCAGATAAATATTGATTTTAAACTTAATTATGTTATTTCAAAATAATAAATATTATAAATATAATTAATTTTCAGTGACAAATCAAGTAATATTGCTGTTTTATGTCTAAATCTGCAATAACAGATCAAGTAATATTCTTGTTTTATGTCTAAATCTGTAGCTTTTAATTCAATTAAAATACTTTTCTTATCGTAAATTCGCACGCGCAATTCCATTTAAAAAGCAACTCTTTAAGACAGTCCGTTTCTGTCAGTAAGATATGATTAGATGATATCTGAGTTAAAGCATCCGTGTTTGCGTTATAGCTTTCTATGGAACACTATATGAGCATTAGAAAAATTTAAAAAAAATGAAATTGAACTTAATGTCTTACTTTTTTTGCATCAACCGGGATAACGAAGGTGGGCATTCACAGTGCAGTGTGTTGTGAAGGAAATATTATATGGGCAGTGGTGCTTTGACCTACTCTTATATCCATTTGAAAATATCAACGGATCTTTAACATTCTGTCAGTGGCTTACACGGGATCATTTACAAGGACAAAGGACTGTAAAATCCTGGAGCTGGACATGTGTGTGTGCGTGAAAGAGAGAGGGGAGAGAGCGAGAGAGAGAGAGAGAGAGATAGAGAGACCTCCGCCTAACATAAAATATTTCATTTCGAGACTAACGTATGGTTCAATTTTAATTCAGCAATTAGCTTGTACGTAAAGGTCATTAGAGTGGGGAAAATTGGAGGGCCCCGGGGAAACCTTCGAGGTTGGACTGACGACCCTACTACTTTTCACGTAAGATCGGCGACTCGAAACCACGCCATCGGTTAATGCAACTAACAATGTAGTCTCGATCATGAGACAATATGACCGCGATATATCTATGTGGATCAAGACTAACATGCGTAATGACTGGACTATGAAAAATAAATAAGTTTTTTATTTGAATTCCATAGATTTTGTTTTGTTCTTCAAAATGTGGTGGTGAATTGTTCCGGACACAGGCGGACATTGTGTTATCGCCTCTTTTAGCTACCATACATATCAAACTATTTTTAGAAAATGGAGGTCGGATGAACTTAATTACATAGATATTAAAATTGTTATCAAAACTGTGTTAAACCTGCGAGTTGTGAAGATGTACAGAGCAGCTACTATACAGTTAAAAGCTTTTAAATTTCTGAAAAAAACAAGTAAAGATAAAATAGTGAAAGATGAGAATGTAAGTAGGGATGCTTGTTTATAATGCTCATAATATATACACACTATATGGGTTATTAAGAAAAAGCATGTGCATGTATTGAATGTTTATTTCATATTAATTAGACGAGAAATGAGTTTATATTTCCTACAGTGTAGACTTATAAATAGACCGAACAGGAACATCAACTTACACATATTTAATTTCATTTACAAAGTACATTAAAGTTTTCTATCTCCCACTTACCAATAGATCTTGTAGGAGTTCTACATGTGGACGCATCTGACCTTCCTGGCCGGGTCTATGCTGTCCGCTTTTGATGCAAAACGTCTCCTGATACCGCAAGTTTTATCCGACTTGACTTAAATATATTCAATCTTGGTGCACACCAGACCACAGCGTGTGAAATATGTACGACGTTTGGTGTAGGCCTTCACCGGACCTTCCGTTCCGTAATTATACCACCTTTTCAGAAACCTTGTGAACTCGATAAAGGCTATATTGTTGAACATACATGTATTATTTACAAACTTGGTTTGAAGTCATTGGAGTCATGAACGGACTAACCCTATCAACAATCAGCGTTCTGTGCCCTTTGGTTATCGAGTTATGTAAAAAAAGGTCTTGAAGTTAAAATCTTGAGATAAAATGAATTACCAACATTATTAGGGTGTTAGTTGTATTCCCCGTTTTCATTGCCCCAGTCGATGCAGAACAGTAGGACGTTAAACCCCATTTCATTTCGTTAGTGGTATTTGTACAACTTTCATACAGACTATAGATTAGAAATCAAAAGTAGACTTTCCACCGACGGAAATGGTTACTTCCGATCGTGTTTATATTAATTACTTGAAATAATGAAACGGAAATACATCTCGTGATATTTAATAATAATATAATAATAACTTACATAATTTAAATAGATTGAAAAATTAGAAAAAGACCTTTGTGTTTCTATGTAAAACAATCCGTTCTTCGTATTGTTTATTGCTTGTTGTCAAGAATTTCCGTGTGTATATTCATAGTTTTAGAGTGTGATGCGATTTTTGTAAATTGAATTTTAAATAATTATCTTATCCCTTTAGGTCTGCAGTTGGGCATATTCGTTTTGCATTGGATATCTTTGGTAACAACAAATAAAGTCTACAAAGACAATGCCGGTAGTGAATTAAAATTCTATATTGCGTAAATATTGAGAAAAAAAATCGAGAGAATTTTGCCCGGGCAGCGGCACTATGGCTTGTTCTTATATCGAATTCCAACCGCCAAGGGATATTTTACGTGCCCCCCCCCCCCATGTGTACATGGGGCCTCGGTTTTCGTCCCATCCGAACGACTAGACAGCTGTTCTTGTCATGAAATGGATGATCGAGACTATGTTTTTATCGTACAGACTTTAGTAATGATGATCGAGGCTAGGCCGAAATTTCACTCGCTTAATTCTCGGTTCATAGTGGATCAATTTGACTGAAATTGTCAGCAAATTTCCTTTACATTATCTACTTTTTAACTATTATGGCGAGAAATACCAGCTCTTTAACTAATCTCCCATAATGTATCCTTAAATTAAAAGATTTTTAATAATTATGCATACTGGGAAAGATAACTCTAATTGACTTTTAGCCAAACAGAGACATATATTTGAGACCTCTGATATTCGATCTGGCGGCTAACGTTTTATAATGGCAAAATATGAATCCGATATTTCATTAAGCTTATCACGACATCGAGTTCTAATGTGAATCATTATATGTATTCTGACGTTCTATGTAACTTATACTATTCCCATATATTGAAATAGTTCTAGCTATACGTATATAGGGATACCTGATACACAAGTTTTCTCACATCTCTGTTAAAGTAACTATTTCTCTCACTATTTGTAAAGTTTCGGCTATTTCAGTACATTTCCGTAATAAGAAACAACATTGCGTAATGTTATCTTATACAAAATCACCAATGACACAATTTGGGAAAGAAATAAAATATGTATAAAAATGACGTGCTGCTGTCCTGGGTACTCGGGACTACTATTTCTAAAGATGACATTTTCTTGCTTATCCGACTTAAAATACCCTCTTGCTTATCCGTCTAAACATTATCTCCTGATAAAATATGAATATATATTTCCGTTTGTTCCGGAAATGTGTCTCTGGGCAGATGAATGTATATATTGGTATTATCTTCTTGTTTTGTCTTTATATTATTCTGAAGCTCTTCTAACTTAACTGTTCATTACAATAGTTTTTTTGGATATTTTACATATTTCACTTTCCCTCGGATACATGGCAAAATTATTCCACTCATGTTTTCTAGTGTTGTGCTCACTTTAAGAGGAAACTGATACTTCATTTATGGACGTTTAATTGGCCGTAAGTTTAAAATTTTCTTTATTTTTAAGGCGTCGCTAAGACTATTATGCAGACATGTATTTGTCACGTTTATATTACTTGCTTTATATGTATATTTTCTTTGGCTAAATACATATTTGTTCAATTGAACATCAAAAACAAACTGCACAAATTTCATCTATCGGTTCCACTCTAAATGTAAACATGGAATTTTTGATATTTTTACATGTCTGGGGATATCCAAGAATATTTACAATGTGTGCGGATATTGAACGACAAAAAGATGCACCTCATCTGCTAGACGGTTAATGCTTTCTGATATATAGCTAATATATGTTGTTTATAGGTTTGGTAGAGATAGGTGGGGTAGTAAGTTTAAGTCTAATACATGGGTTCCCACAACTTATTTTGAGGGACCCCATAGCCGCCACGGGGCGTGGGTGATGCCCCCCCCCCCCTCCCATGAATTTTTTTTTAAAAAATTGACTGTCGGAAACGCCTTTGCGAACATTTCAGAGGAAGAAACTGCACAAAGGCATTTCCCCTTTATCTAAAGATATTACTTCACAATCGAATTCACAATCAGACATTGTAACTCAAAATCAGTCGCGACACCATGGCAACTGGGCGACCCTGGGTCAATGATATGATATGAACTATTAAATATCCAGAATAGAAGTGATCTATATACATATATACATACACACAAACATACAATTATAAATGAAATAGTAACATATATAATACACAATATATTATATTATATTCAACAATTACATAGTATTGACTAATTGTATCTTAGGGATTAAGTAGTTATAGGCTAGCTAATTGCTAATCATGTGGGGTCTGGTCTGATCATGACCGTTATAACAATATTTTTACACGCCCACATTTTCATGGGGACGTATATTGTCGTCGCCCCTCAGGGGCGGATCCAGGAATTTTTGCAGGAGGGTGTTCCCCCCCCCCCCGCATGGTCTATATCGTCATTTTGGCGTATATACATACACATTGAGCTTATAAACAGAGAAATTCAACACCTCGTTTGACGTCAATTTTTATTATGAATTAATACAATGATATTGTGATTCAATTTCATGGATGCAAAGCATTAATTGTGATATCACATAATGTCTATATCATTATCTCGTGCTTTGGGTGCCCATCCTGTCCCACCTCTGACGCTAACGGATAAAGCACACGGCCGATAAACTTTTCTCATAAAAAGTGTTGATTTACAAAAAAAACAATGTAGCTGAGCGGGGGGAGGGGGTCGATCCCCCCAAACCTCCCCTCTGGATCCGCCCCTGCCCCTCTCCGCCCGGACGTCCGTCCGTCCACAATTGTTTGTGGACACTCTACAGGTCGCAATTGTTATCCTATTTCAACGAAAATTGAAATATAGGTTTATCCCCCCAAGATCTCGGTTTTTTTCGATATTGGCATGTATCGGACCGTAACTTCATGGATTATGGCCCCATGATTTTTATGTAAAATCGCGTTTTTAGCTTGTGGTCCCTCTAGAGGTTACAATTAATATCCGATTTAAAAAAAACGTGTGAATATATCACCGTTACATCATAATGACGGTTGAATTATGTCCCCTGATTGTACGAAAAATCGCTTTTTGAGCTTGTGGTCCCTCAAGAGGTCACAATTATTATCTGACTTAAAAAAAATCGTGCGAATATGTCACTGTTACACTGTATTGTTGGCTGAGTTCGAATTTCATGAAAATGGGACCAAAACTGCCAGAAACACGGCCGCTCGTCTACGCAAATAGTGTAAACTTCTGGTATATCAAGGTTGTGGACCCTCTAGAGCTCTCAATTTTGATTCGATTTTGATGAAACTTGAAGTGCATGTTTATAACCAAAAGATCTTGGTTGATGTCAATATTTGCGCATATCAGATCGTAACTGTTTTTAGCTTGTGGTGCCTCTAGAGGTCACAATTATTATCTGATTTACAAACACGTTCATGTGTATCACCGTTACACCGTAATGTTGGTTGAGTTCGAATTTCGTGAAAATCGGACGAAAACTGCCAGATAAAATGACCGCCCCTCTACGCAAATAGTGTAAACATCTGGTATATCAAGGTTGTGTACCCTCTAGAGGTAACATGTTTGATCCGATTTTAATTTTACTTGAAATGCATGTTTATAACCCAAAGATCTTGGTTCCTGTCGATATTCGCACATATCTGATCGTACCTTCCTGAATTATGGCCCTTGATGTTACGAAAAATCGCTTTTTGTTTAGCTTGTTCTCTATCCATCTCTTGAAAAATGTGGGCGTATCCTGCCTGGCAGTCGCTGGTTCCCTTCCCTGAGTTATACGTTTATTGAAACTATAACTACCGTATACTTGGTTTTAACATGCGTTTTCATTTTTTTTGCTGTACTTCGGCATCGTGTGTATTTACAAGATGGCGTATTTGCCGATTATATTAATAAAATTATATATACGTAAGGAGGCTCTGAATTTCCGATTGTCGATCCTAACAATTTCGAAATATAATCACACTAAATTGATGGACAGAGGTGGTGACAATGTGATCACATAAACGTGTGTGTAAATTGAAAAAAGATCACCAAGTAGTCGCAATTTCCTCCTGTTTCGAAAAAATAAAAGTCACAACATTACTAAATGGGATTTCATGTTAAAGATTCATTATGTAAAATTTAGATAAAAGGTGCTGACATTTCTCGCTAGAAAAGAAATTTAAAAATAGACAATGAAAAGGAATATATTCAAAATTTCAGTCAAGTTAATTTCTTCTTTGCTGAGTTATGCATGTTTGAAGAGATAGCGTCCTCTCGAGTTCCTCTGCAGCCGTTGTTATGAGAATAAACAAAGTCTCAAGTCTCGATCATCCATTTTTAATTTAGATTATTAAATGGCGATCGTGTTGCAATCGGTTCAAATTCGCACCAAACCGATGAACTAGAGAGTTGCTTATGGGGTTGGCATGCGAATAAATGTCTAATTAATAATCTATGTAACAGATTGTTACCTAGGCAGATTTAGCGCTTACATTATGTCATGACGTACTGTCACAAATGATATATGAACTTATTTATAATGTATCTTTTGTCTCCATTAACTCCTTTCCCTGTTTTCGACTTTCTGCGAATCGAAGACACCGTAAAAAGCTCTTGCATAACGGATGAAAACAATAATTTGCATAAAATATTGTTCTGCTAGGTGATTTAGGTACATGTTTTGTTCCACCAAGTCATTATGCATTGCCATTATGTTGTTTGTTCTGTTGTGGCGATTGATTAGTCGCCCCAATAGTGGCCTAAATAATTCCCACTTCGATTACAACGAATATTAACTGGACAAAATGCCTGCCTGGTTGTTCGTGTATACAGTCAGCGCCTTACTCACTTTGTCACCATGGGTCCCACCCAACAGCCAGGTGGGTGTCAGAACAAGGATAAATAAGTGTAACGCGGTCGCGGGTGTATGCACATAATTTTGGTGGAATTAACTCAGCAGAATATAATGACAATTCTCAACTCTTATCTAAAGTTTTACGTATCCACACGGGACCTCGACTTTTTCGAATAACTAGACTCTCTGTTCTGCACTACTGACAAGGGAAAACCACACAAAACCCAAAGAAATGTCTCGACCAACACCATTATCGAACTCGTGACCTCTTAACTCACTGAATCACCATAGGCACCGAAAACCAGGTGAATGTTTGATGGTAAATTTTCAAAATCTAAACTGAAGAAGTATTTGACATTTAATGCTGAGAAAATATAAATCCTTATTTTGCCGTCACAATAGCCAAATGCTAGAGAACATTTTGGACACTTCAGATTAAGGTCAGACTTGCACGAACTGGGCATAAGTATGAAATTGCCATTCCTGTAATGAACTAATGCGCATATAGACATCACTGATTGATCCCATTAGTGCGATAGCCATTTACAATAATAGCCTTCCACGATTGTGCTTATAGGTTTATGTGGATACACACCCTTGTCTGGCAGTAATATTCTATACCACGCATTTGTTTTGAAAGCATCTTCAGTGTTATACACAGGATAAGAGGGGGAAGTAGATTTACAGTACCAAAAACTTATTCAAGCGACCTTTGTTCTTATCGCGTACAATAAAACTGTCACAACGATCTCCCGCTTTGCATCGATAATAGCATGTGATCCACGGAGCTTCGAACCACCCAGCACCAGTATATTTATGGTTTTCAAACATCCATGTCGAACTAAAGAGTGCAATAAATATATAAGCTTTTCAGATCACTAGAATCGATACTTTGATGTTGGTTATTTCCCACACGAAAATTAAAGACGGCTTGCCAATTTAAATTGGCCGGCAGTAGTTGGGCATTTACATTCGAAATAATTTCGCGTTTTAGTATAAGCTGAGCTTTTGAAAATGGGGTACGTTGGGGTTACAGATTTTTATATAAAGAACCTGCACTGATTATAAATGGTATTTACGACCACGTTTATGCTATATACAGGTGACAAGTCTATCGAATACAGTTACTGGTTATTACGGAGCAACGTTTAGACTAGGCTTCTCTAGTCTTTATCAAGTAATATGCTGATTAAAGGAACATGATTAAATGATAAAACAATATGCCATTGGATATGAAGATCGCGACTGTCACGACATGTTATAAAAATAAATGACGTATTGCACTGTAAATATTGATGGAGTATAATAGGTATTCATACTATAAGTATTGTTATATTGAACGTCCGTGTCATCTTGTAATTAGAGGATTGATTCCACATTAATTATTGTCTCGACCAACGCCCAAACAGAGCTGCGTATTTCCCACATTGTGTAATTCCAGCAACCTAAAAGCATACTGGGGAAAAGGTAATAAATTACAGTTTAAAAAGAACTAAAAGACAAATGCTGGATTAGAATGTTTTTATTTTTTCCATCAACTGTTTATTCGTCATATCGCATCTTATTGGAATTACTATAGATGATTTCATGTAATGTTACTGCGAATTGTTCTCCTGTATC